GAAATGGGGGCTAGGCCCGGATTGGATCTGCCATGGGTATGGCAAAATAGGGAGACCACAATTCAACATCCAGCACCCCCCAACAACTGCTGTTGCCCATAATCCCAAGTACTGTCCCAAAAAAACAGTGGCTGGGGGGGGGAGGGGGGTGCTGGATGGTGGCTTTCCATTTGACTGGTGTCCCTTTAAGCCAACCTGACAAAGGGCAACCTCAAAAAACATACAGTACACGCCCGAATCGTGGCTGACCTGAGTTGACTGTCTAGAAAAAGTGTCATTATTGTCGGCCCTACTGACTAAAACAATGAAACAAGCTAGCAACAAAAGTATGAAGCTTTCAAACTGAACAGGTTGAGGACCTGGGAAACGACCACAAGGATGTTTGCGTTGTTATTGTATCCTGTAGTAGTAATGCTGGTGCCAAGCAATCCTTTCCGGGATACCAGTGCTGATTCAATTCACATCCCCATGAAGAATTGTTGCCTTTGAACGGGATGCTTTCGCACTATCAGAAAGTGGCCTGCAAATATGAGTTTCCACATGCGGATATCCAAAGGGCAACCAGCCCAGCAAAAGGCAGGGAATGTTGGATGGTTGGCCACTAATGTACTTTCCATCGAGTGTAAGCCAAAAAGCTTTCGAGCTCGTGTTTACAGATCTCAGTGTTCCATAGGTCCTCAATGGTCCAAACGGCCTAGACAAGGTGATCGTCTCCTGCTAGAAACATGGCAGCCAAGACGGTGACTATGACAAAGTGGGATTTGCCTAAGAAAGGACCGTGATGAATTCACAATATGTTTCTCTGTACGGAGTAGCCATCCAATGGACCCTCTCGACACGACAACCACCCGCGAGGAGCCAGAGCATGAAACAACCCAAGTCACTGGGTCCGAAGACAATCGAAAAATGGTGTGGCAATCAAAAGAAAACATCGTCAAATCCATCGAATGTTTTCCCGGCATGCTACAATAGCGCACGAGTGAAACCAAACTTTCGTGGGTCCCCATTGGATCTAAGAACGCGCGACCTCAGGTCCCTGCTCTCGCAGCGGCCCAGCGGCTTCAAATTGGTGCCAGCCTCAAACCAAAGCGGCGAGACGACTTCTTTTGTGCCGGAGAGCAACCCGGGTTTGCCTCACAAACGGCATCCCGGATCGAGTCTGTGTGGCATTTTGTTTACGTTGTTTAAAGGACGGCAACATGAAGCTGCCCTCATGAGAGAGATAAAAAAACTGAACATGTATCATTTCCCCTGGCTATTTAAGGTATGGAGCTTGGGGGAATACTCACCCAAAGAGGAGTACGGGTCACTGTTGAAAGCTGTTGTTGCCACTGTAAGGGCTCAAAGAGCCAACTTCTTTCTTCGGCCTTCACGCCTGCACACTTAAAGGCTACCACAGCAGAGTGCACGGCTTTCAGATGCCGGAATATCTTGCATAGGCTGAGCAAAGAGCTAGATTGCTCTGATCCCACGCTTTGAACCCCCCACAAAGTATTCATGGATTTGCGCGAGCAAAGATCCGCCTTAGCAAAACAACTCTGTCGATATTGGTCCCCCGTTCAGTAACCATTGTCGACTTGCGGCAACAAGGCCTTCCAAATCCAGGTCAAAGAGTCGGAGATCCTGTGAAGCTTCCCCATGCCAAATAAACATGGACACTGAGCTAAGGAAACATCTGCACACAGCCCGCCTCGCCAATGCAAGTGATCACCATGGGGAACCTCCGTCGCAAGGCTGGTGCCGTGCGTTCAGTGTCACCAATCACAGCGTCGGTTCCCTGAAGACTACAAGAGGATGACTATGATGCCCTCCGCAATGCTTCGCCTGGATGCTGTCACAAGTGCTTTGTGGCTGACTTTCCCTCATGTTTATGGCTGTAGTTGATAAGCACGGGCGAAGCTTCATTGCTTGGCACTGCCCACGCCCAAGCAGCCCCCGTCTGCTGGTTTGGCTCTCTCCAAGTCAGTCCACCACAAAGGAGTTGGTGTTTATTCATTTAACTATCCGCGACCTTTCAGATTTACCATGCAAGCTTTGGGCTCGGACCAGTCTGGGTACAGCGTCTGCAGAAACCTCAGGGGCTTCGCGGGTCGCTGGTGGACTCGGAGAAGAGGCAACAGAGATCTGAGTCAACCCCAATCAATTGGACCGAACATGCGATGGAACTGCTGTTACCCTCTGGCCAACAGATCTTGAGGCTGTCTGTCTCTTTGAGAAACACCCAGAAACTGGCCTCACTTTGTGCCTGATGATGGTTCTTCTGCGTAGTAAAAGGCCCCCCCGTTCAAGGTCGACAAGGTTTGGACAAGCCCCCAAAACTGAGATTTGTTGGAGGACCCCTTGATTCATCTGGAGCCCCTTCTGTCCTCGTCCTCTTTCTTCTGGCCCCTCCCAGCCAATTGAACTGGAAACAGGAACTTGCAGCACCTCTTTGGTCCTTGCCTTTTTGGCCCCTTGAACATTAAATGGCCACAGCTGTTTTTGTTTCGAGCCCAAAAGGGCCGTGATTACTCGCGGAGTTGTTTCTTGGTAATGAGGGAGGGATGGCCTCCAAAGGGGTCCCCTTTGTGAGCTTGAAAACCGTGCCATTTTAAGCAAACTTTAGCAAGAAAAACACATAGGGAGGCCCAACAAATGTTTGGGTAGAGTTTGTTGGGCAAATCTTGTTGGGCCTGTACTTCAGTATTGGTGGGAATCTGAGAGGTAGAAGGAGGAACCGTGGATCGCGGGCGTTGCTAATCGTGCTCTCACATGAGTCTACCATGTGTATATATATATATATGTATGTATATATGTATGTATATCATATCCAAACCAAAAAGTGTCTGAGGCGCCTTCAAGCCCCAACTGGCCTGGCCAACAGTTGCTTCCCTCACCGCCACCATAGGTCGAGTTGCTCCCGGATCTCCTCAATACCAGTTCGCTGTGTATCCTGGCGGCTGACCGCGTACTGACCCAACCAACCAATGAGGCGGTTCTCAGCGCAACCTTGCAAACAGGTCGCTTGGCCGGTACGTTTACGCTCAGCTTACAGGTCGAGGAGACTTTGTTGGACATGTTTTCCCAATATGAAAGTTGCAGCTGGTTGCTAACTAACTTAAATCCACACTCACCTGTCGGGTCAAACAACTTGGCCAAATTGTCCAAAGCCTTCAAGTAGTGATGAAGAGTGACATAGATCAGAAAGGCACTTGACATGGCATTCTCGCATCATTCTCGTCACGAGCACATCACACTGCTGCGGCTGCGCCCAATCGATAGTGTCAACAGGCAAGGCCTTCGAGAACATGCCAAGTTTGCAACTTAGAGTTCTTGGAGATTTAGGCAACCACCCAAGGTTCTCTCCTAACTCGCACGAGCAACTCTGCCAACCGCTTGAAGGCAACCAATCGATTTAACGAGCACTTCACCATCTGGTAGCCATGTTGCTCAGGGGAGGGAGCCAGTCTTGGAGTCATGCTGTCACCTAAAACACACACACATGACTCCAAGGTGAGACCTTTCAAGCCCGGCCTGGTCGTTGAGCCGGCTGAGCGCGAACTCAAGCTTCGTCTTGAGCTCAGCAAGAGCCTCCCATCTGAATGCATTCACGGACAGGCCGTTAGGTGCAATGGAGTGGACAAAGTTGGGCTGGAAATCCCACCCAAGCCAAGCACATGCGCGGGTGTGATAGGATCCATGCTCAAGGTTGCACGCCGCCGCCTCCTTGCTTTCTCGAATGCCATACTTGGAGCTTAAGGTCGACCTCAAGAACCAGGGGTCAACTCAGTAGATGTTTAATGAGCGGACATGCATCCACCAATGCGGCTGGTCAAAAAGAAAACTGGAACTTGCACCATGGTTCAAGGGGACTCCTTTTTGGGCGCCATTGAACCCCACCAAAGTCTTGTCAAGTTGTCAAAGGCACAACATGGAACCCGAGTAGCAGCAACTCAGCTCCGAGCCCTGAAGGCGACACCACCATCGCGTCTCACCGAGCTGTCAGCCAACCTCGGAGTTGCTGGTGAAAGGCCAGCGGGGTTTCAGAGGTCAGGGGCCCACCTCGTGGTTTTCCGGTTTGCCGGTTGGGAACCAAACAATGTGGGTGGCTGGACCCACCAAAATGACAGTTATTCAGTTGGTTTCCCTTTGAAAACCAACCAAAGGGAGCTCCCTAAAGAAAGACAGACCCATGTAGAAGAAAAGAACAAGGGTGCGCTTGTTTGACCACACCTTAGAATGCCCAAAGGCGTGTTGTGTTACAGCACTGTTGAACTCGGGCTGGCTAGTTGGAGATATACTCAGCTGGTTCCTTGAGAAAGGCCCGCCCTAACATGAGTGGCAAACGTAAGAAGTGCTTCCATGTCAAACATGAGAAGACATCACTAACCTTGTATCAAGTCGAGTAGCTAGCCATGGCCAGGGAAGGTCACATGACCTCCTGACTGAAGCTGTTGTTTAGAATTGCTCACTTGTGGTCTTTGCCAAGTTGCTCTGCACGTGAACATATGTGTATATACATATATATATATATAGCATGATGTATATATACAATATGTGCGTTGGGTGTGTTGCTGAGTGACAATACCTGTGGCCAAGTAGTTCAGCGAACCGGCTGATGTCCTGTTCTACACGATGCAGTTGTTATGATGTTGCTATGCCCTTACGGTAGGTACAGCTACAGTTGCCTACCGCGCAATCTCATGTCAAGATTCCCTCAGATATACTTCTTCCACTCCTTTGATCCAAGAGCGCGCGTGCACGTGCGCACAGGCAAACAAACTGAACATGTTTACACTGATAAATCAATCCAGATCACCCATTCTCACTAGCTCGCTGCGATTTCTATCTTCGCTTTCATCATCACCTCTCTCATATCAACAGTTCCTGGCCGACAATTATATCTAGTCAAGCAACAACAGTTTTCGAATTCGCAATCCACAAGAAGGAATGTTTAATCACAGAGCTCGTTCAACCCCTGAGTTCTCTGACTTGACGCGCCATGGCTCGCTACCTGTTTT